CCCCCAAATCACATTTTTCCGGTCTACTTAATTTTCCGACTCCTGAAAATCATTTTTTTTTTTTTGCAATCTCGTTTGCCCCCGTCTACCTTTACACATCTCGACTGGCGTATGCGATGGTGCGACGCGGCAATGCGCGGCTATATATCTTTAGATTCCGTCTAACTTTAGTCCTCGGTGTCGAGGGGGACACCAAAAACCAAACACTCCTCTCACTCTTTTTCGTCTGTCAGACTATACTACTCCGTTTACTCGTGTACTAGTACGAGTCTTTTCTCTGCGAAATGACGTAACCATCACCTCGTAACCTTCGAAGTTATAATATTAAGATACAACCCCTCCATTAATCTTTTAATAGATTTTTATCTCGCTTTTCCGAGGATGACAAAGACCACGTAATTGCATGAAATCAGTGCCACCATTATTTAACCCCCGAATTTTCACGAATTTTCCTCCGAGTCACCAGGTACCGGAAAAATCCAATATTTTCCAATGCCACTATTTTTTCTCCCCCGAATATATCTCTCACACATGACAAGATAATTCTTGATTAATGGGTTCATTAAAACCAGTCAATGTTTTTGTTGTTATTTTTTTATTTATCCTCGGAAAATGATTTTTTCCGTGTGTTCATCTTATCGTCGACGCCCACACATTTACATGCCCCTGAGCAGGATGACTGGATCCACCGCTGATTTTACTCGCCGAAAATAAAGAAATTGAGAAAAAAATAAAATAACACCCGGTGACACAACGATCGATCGTTTGCCGGTACGACTATCTCTCGTTTTGTCGATTTATTTTTACAACCATCGAGGCACAACATCCGGTCGTATTGCCTAGACGATTCACGTGGGTGGAGTGTCTCGGGGCGAAGGGAGTGCAATTATCGGTGTAATAAATAAAAATTACCACGATTTGAGTGAAAAAATTTGACAATCAGAAAGTTGATGATCTGATGGTGAGAGGAATCGGCCACTGAATGGTGCACAGTTGTTTGTTTTTGTTTGGATTTACCAACAACTCTAGCCAAAACAATCTACCACCTGCCAACTCCACCGATACGCATCACTTACAAATCGGTCTGGTCTATCCATTTTTTCAGTAAATTTTTCTCGTCAAATTATACCGACGATTATCCTGGCTGCCTTCCTACCTAATCCAAAATCCTATCCAACGATTTTCTACAACGCCACAAGATGTGGAGTTATATCAATTCATCGCACTCCGCGAAGCGCAGAATCATTTGAATCCTCACCGATAT